CAATTTGTATAGACAAAATCGTAACACAAACGAGGTGGTACTAATTTTGCGTCCGTCAAACTTCGTACGTTGTCCTATTTACCGTGCGTCCGCCCTCGACCGAATTTCACAGGCCCAGTTCGTGTAGCCTTTTCTTTTGGACAAGCCGCATGGGCTCTTGTATGGACGCCGGCCCACCTACAACCGGAGAAGCAAAAATAGTACTAGCATGTTCAGGATCGAACTCGCGAGCTCTATGGCTTTACGGTATTCCAAAACGCTAAAGCCAAGTAACCAAGTTTGTGTTTTTGTCTTAGTCCCACCTCGCTCCAATAGATACAATAGCACCAGTTAAAATACCTGTGCAAAACTTGTACCTACGTGGGAGCTGGGAATTTGTGGGGTGACGGAAACCGGATTGTGGGGCATGCTAACGGTATTTGTGGGCCGCTTGTTGTAATTAAAGGAAGGAAAACACGATTGTGGGCTTAATTAAAGGAAGAGGGAATTGCTGGGGGCTCGCTGCCAAAAACAAAGGATGGCTTTCAGGCTCTGATTGAAACACGGATCAAAACAGTGGGGCACCGAATAAACTGTACGACTAATGGTGGTTTGTAGCCTCCTCCCCTGTCCTGTGATTTCAATCATCCTCTAGCCCTTTGGAGGCAACACGTGGCACCTGCCGCCACGGCGTCAGGCGACAGGCTGCGTGGAACGGGAATTGGCTGGCGCGACGGAACGGGCTGGCGCTGTGGAGCCCTTTCGCCTGAGCGGCTGGCGGCAGGACCACGCCTACGAATCAGTCGACATTTTGTACAAATTTTACGAACGGAAGCTCTTATTTTCATATTTCTGTATCTTTTTTTAAACTATGAATCTAATCTTTTGGAAAAAATAAGTCTCTTCGCTTGAATTTTAGAACTTAGAATTTATTACCCTAGAAAAAAAAAGAAAAACCTAATCATTTGAATCTTTGGTATCCTTCAAATCTTCGCTATCCTTCAAATCTTCGCTATAGCAGCCGGGCCCGGCCGCCTCAGGGGCTGGTGGCAGGCCTGTTCATCGGCGTCGTTCCTGGCACTGTGTTCATCGGCTGGCCCGTATTCCTTGCTTAGTTACTAGTACTCCATTAGTTAACACGAGCAGAGGCCTTATTCATGCATGCATGCCCATGTGACGTCCACCTCTTTAAACAAAGCAAAGTACTGCCGTACATGCGCGACGCAGGGCAAGTGGGTACAGACGGGATTTTTTGTCAAATAGACCACCTGCTACAGCATGCCTGCCCCCAGCTGATGAACAGGCCTGCCGCCAGCCTCTGAGGCGGCCGGGCCCGACTGCTACTGTCCTGCCGCCAGCCCCTCAAGCGGTAGGGGTCCACAGTGCCAGCCTGTTCCGTCGCGCCAGCCGATTTCTGTTCCATGCAGTCTGCCGCCTGACGCCGTGGCGGCAGGAGCCGCCGCCTCGCACCGTGGCGGCAGGTGCCACGTGTCGCCTGGCGCACCTGCCGCCACGGACGAGGGGGTCCTTTTTGTCAAATCATCTCAGAGGGGGTCTTTTCTGGCAATTCAATTGCGCAGGTGGTCTCTTTCGACAAAAAATCCTCTTGTTGCCACTCGGTTGAGGTCAAGCCGAAGGTTGTTTCAACTCCGACAGGGGCAGCTATCATGGATGGCTTCAGCCTGCGTTGCGATGGGATCCACGCTCATTTGTATTAGCACTACCGTTATGAAGGCGAGCATCATGGATGGTTGCGGGCACCACTACGACATCGCTGACTAAATCAAAGTCTCACAATGCGTCAAGGTCATAATTGCCATTCTTAAAGTCCCATTGACCTTATATATATCACTTAATTATTTGTTTGGTTCATTTAGCTGCATTGTTGTCTGCCACCTGGTTTATCACAACTGCTTTTTACTCTATAGTGAAGCACGGGCTAAGGTTTTGTAATTTTTTTATCCCGTTGCAACGCATGGGCATTTTTGCTAGTATATATATATATAAAGCAGCGATGGCTTATGGTCGTCCGTCAGGCTTTTTGCAAAAAAGTCCCCCAGTTTTTGAGAAATTAACCCGCAATCCTACATATAATGTGTGGTAGTGATGAAAAACGTTTCGTCTTTTTACAAAAAAAACCCTGCCTCCACTGGCCACCTCCACCACTTATCCATTGCCTGCCTCTACTGTACCGCCCGGCACGCCCCGCCGCTTGCCGCTGGCGTCGACGCCGCAGAAGCAGGGGATGCGTCGCGGAGGGCGTCCGCGCCGCCCAAGCCCAGGAATGAGGCGAGGCGTGGTAGAGCACGGCGGACCGAGGCGTCGCGGCAGGCGTTGGAGGGCGCGACAGAGGATGATAAGGCGGCCGACGTGCTTTCTTGGGGTGAGGCGTCGCAGCGCGCCTACGGTGTTGGCTGCTGTGGAGCGCGCTGCGGCGGGGCGGCTTCAGGCCATAGTGGATGAACTGGAGTGCGGGCGCTACGGCAACGTCGAACAGGAGGAGAGGCTTCGGCAGTGGGCCAGGCATGGCTAGGCGTCACCAAGAGCCACGAGGTCGTCGCCGTCGGCCTCCACGCCACGCTGGACCAGCTGCTGCAACCTCCCTGTGCCGTCGCGGTCGGACGCCTGCGTTTGTGCTGCTCCGGTGCCGGCACCTGTCCTTGTGCGGTGCGTGCGAACCAGCCGAGTTAGCGAGCTCCCAGCAGCCTGATGAGTAGGAGATGAACACGGCTTCGCGGGCGAGCTCCCATGGACGGAGAGGCAGCCGGAGGCGGGGCAAGCTTCAAGGCAGCCTGATGAGTGGGAGATGAATGTCGGCTTCGTGGGCGAGCTCCGACGGCAGGCCAGACGAGAGGAGGCGGATCCGTCTGCTCTGACGTGGATCCAGTGGCGGGGTGGACGAATCGAGGCGGAGGAGCACGAGCCTGACGGAGAGACGACAGGAGGCGGGACGAAGCTCCAAGGCGGCGGGGATGCTACGGGTTCCATGGCGACTCCCTGGAAAACATAGATTAGAGAGAGAAGAAGAAGGGAAAAGATGAGAGACAGGAGGAGAGGGGCGGCAGCTGGGCTTGGCCTGCTTCAGGTGGATCGTGGCACAGAGGAGAGCTCCTCTCCAGGCGCGGGGAGGCTGGCTGCTGGAGTTGGGAAGGGGAATTAGCGAAGGGGAAAAGAAACATGATAGAAACGAGAGAGGGGTTGCGTCCTTAGAGATAAGACTGAGTGATCGATCCGGGGGCTCCACGGCGGTCGAGCAGGCGAGAGACCTCGCACGAGTTACACATGGGGTTCACTGGGTCCCACACCACCGCTAGGCCTACTGGTCCAGTAGTTTCTTTCTATCCACACTACCGCGAGTTCTACTGTTCATTGTTGAAGGACATAGAACTCTCACTAAATTTAAATACACGTCAATTTTTTCTACTATTGCAACCACGGGCGCCTAGCTATTTGCTAATATTGTCTTTTGATCAATTCTCTCAAATACTACCTCCGTCCGGGATTAAAAAGCCTTTGAGCCAATTCTCTGAAACCAAGACATGGTGTAGCTTTTGACCGAATTTTTACCCCGTTGCATCGCACGGGCCATTTTCCTAGTGTGTGTGTGTGTGCGTGTGTGTATATATCTCCCAAATAATAAACCAGCGATGGCTTCTGGTCGTACGTCGTCAACTTTTTTGCATAAAAGTCCCTCTGTTTCTGAGAATTTAACACGCAGTTCTATTTTAAGTGGGTAACGTTTCGTTTTTTTGTAAAAAAACACCCGACCACAAACGGAGCACGGGCTCGCGCTCGCCTCCTCTCCCTCTCGCGCAGAAGTCCTCGCCGCCGCCGCCACCACCCACGCCGGAGCTCGCTGGACGGTCGCTTCCAGCGAGCTCCATCGCCGCGCAACACGTACCCGAGCTCCCCACGGTCCGCGCCTTCCTTCCCTCCAGCCAGTTTCTCCGCTCCCGGCCTCTATCGTCCGCTCCCAACCCCACCCCCATGGCTAGGGTTTCGGGCAGGGCTTCGTCGGCGCGTCTCCCGCTCGCCGCCTTCTCCCACCACGCTAGCCTCCCTTCCCTAGCTACCCTCCCGTCGTGGAGCACCCTCACTGGGCACTCCTTTCTCTCCCCCTCCTGGCTCCTCCCGTCACCGAACTGAAGCACCAGCCGTTCCTCCTCCACCCCCTGATTTGGGGCAGCAACACCATGAGCTAACACCCAGGCGACGATCTCCTGCTGGTGTGGGTCAGTGTGGGCTTCCTCGATCTGGGGCAGACTGGCCGGTTCCGGCGTGGGGAGAGGAGGAAGGTGAGACGGGAGGCCAAGGCAACGGCGAGATCCACGTCGAGCCACCATGGCCATGACCAGATCCACGATGAGGTTAAATGGGGCCGGCTGCTCCCTACAGGACGACGAAACTCTTCAAGGGTGATCCTTCTCTTTTCCCCGAGATTGATGTGCCTGTGGCATGCTTGCTCTCCATGTGTATGTGCTTGTTGTATTTGCCTGCATCTGATGGTTCTTCCAATGTGCGTGCTTGAGAAATACACCTGCAGGTGATGATTCTTCATGATATGTGTCTGCTTCTTGTGTTGCTTCCAGGACATAGAACTGCCTGCAATGATTCCTTGTGTGCTTTTGTTCCGGGTTCCTTAGCTTCTTTTGGTGGATTAGCTACTGTATAAAATAAAACAAGCAAGCAGTTCATATGGGTTGATTAGCTGATGCATGTGATGCGTATAAATGGATAATTGAGATGGGTGTGATTTATTCATGAGATGTACTCTGATTTCTAAGAAAAGGGTTTCTTCTTGGTTGAGAATAATATAATTTGAGATGTACTGCTATGTGTTTGCTCTCCATCTTGGACATTCTAAGCTACAACTGGTGAAGTGTTGATAGGTTTGAATTAAGTATTTTGGACCTAACACATTTCTATCAATTGTTTCAGATTGACCCCGCGAATTACAAGAGCATCTCATCTGGATTTGGTGTTCTGTTAAAGGAGCAAGGAGCTAGGGGATTCTTCAGGGGATGGGTACCTTGCTTGGTTATAGTGCTCAGGGCGCTTGCAAGTTTGGGTTCTACAAGTTCTTTACGAAGACCTACTCAGATATGGCTGGGCCTGACAACGCCGTGAAGTACAAGACCCTAATTTACCTTGCAGGTTCAACTTCTGCTGAGGTAATTTCTGATATCACTCTGTGCCCCTTTGAAGCTGTCAAGGTCCGTGTGCAGACACAACCTGGATTTGCTCGTGGAAGTTGTTAGCTGAAACTCCAAAATTCACTTTTCTTGCAAAACATAAATATGTTAGCCAGACATGAGATTACTGTATGTCTGTCCATCCACACTTGCGCTGTAGCAGAAGAGAGCAACTTAGCATAGACTATTTTGTAAATTAAATTTATTGAATAGAACACGAGCAAACAACCAGACAGTAACGACCTAATGGGCAATGATTATTCCATGAGTGTCATCCCATAGAATGTTCAAATTCACTGAAATAAGCCAATTCAGCCCTTAACAGTCTAGCCGAACATCTCTCACAGATTTTGCCACTGATCCATGAGAAAAGGGCAGCATCCTTCTTTCTACCCTCGCCTATGATGGCCGTGGTGTCCAGTTCACAATGTGTCGAAACATGGTCAATTCCATGACAATGAGCGTACCACCCCACGTGCAATTCTATGACAATGAGCATGCCACCCCACGTGCACACATGTCACTGCATCCACACAAGGGAATGTTTAAAACTTTAAAAACTAATTTGTCAAGTTGGACATGAGGATGCCCTCTACGAGGTACTCCCTGCACCTGTAGCCTATTGCCATGAATTTGGTCAGAGTTGAGGAACTGGGTCAGGACACATCAAGGGAGATGAAAAGCTCGTCAAGGACAGAGTAAGAGCGGAGGATATAGATGCCAGGTGGGACATGGCGAGATGTGATGCCGATGTCTAATGACACCAATGGGTTGAGCGACACAGGCTTCTGCCCAGCGACATCGAGAAAGAAGTGTCAATGACGGCCGCCGACCAGTCTACGCGTATTATGGGCTTATGGTCCAATTTTGTGTTTTTCATATCAACATGATTGTTTTACCGTCAATTTTCTGAATATTGTTAGTGACTAACTATTTCCTAATTTTGTTTATTTAGGTTGGAGAGAATATGTACGACTAATGTTTGAGCAGAAGGAGAGTGAAAGATGCAAGAGTGATACACCCAATCACTTGATTTGAGTCAAACCTGGTTTGTTGTACAGGATTCCACTGTATTTGTCCGCACAAATACTTCTTGATATTTACTCATGATAGTTTTTCTCCATAGTTCAGTGTCTACATCTCTATTCTCCTAATATAGTCATATTGTCCATATAAGTGCAGCTTTTATTTTGAGTTCTTCCTGGATGCCACTCTGAAGGTGAATTCTTCCTGGGTGTATCATGCACCTGTGTCTTGCCGTTCTATATTCTCAAGTCTGAACTGCAGATTCTCAAAGGTTTCGGACACCACTTTGACCTACGACAAATATTTTGACTATTTAATTTAGTGACACTGATCATAGCTGCCTGCAGGTTTTATTCACTCACCAGCTCTGGCTTTTGGTGTACACGGTACACCGTGAGGCAAGAAGGTTGACATGTTCATCTGTTATCATGAGTGTCGTGTTTACTCTTGCAGTTCAGTTGTTAAGCTTAAGCTAAAGATCTGATTGTACTGTCTAGAGGTGGAATGGCTAAGCTCTCTTTATAATCCTTTTACTGAATATCTTGCAAATGACACACTAAAGGGCATGAAGTTATTAGGTGTGTGGGTATCAGTCCACTATGTTCTTATGTCTATGGATCCGCGAAATGTTTGATGCTTTATTGGTTTTGGTCACAAAAATGTTTGGTGTACATGCTTTCATCTTGAATATATGTAGCTCTAAATAATGCTACTTCCCAGTTAGTTCATTGAAGTAATAATACAATCAATTGGATGTTCTTCTACTGTTATGGGTCTAGCGGAAAAAAATGTTTGTTTCGATATCATTGTATTTCTCCATAGTTCATTGTCAACATCTTTATTCTCCTAATACAGTCATATTATCCATATAAGTGCAGCTTTTAGTTCGTAAAAGTACTTTGTACTTTGCCCAATTGATTTCACTAGATCCCCTGTTTGTACAGTATGGATGAAACACCTTGCAATTATTTCACTAGATCGATTGATGATAGCTTGCTGTTGCTGATGAAACCGAAGAAACTGTATCTATTCCAGGCCAGTTGCCAACCAAACCAACATTGTCTCAGTTACTGGTTCAAAGATGTCTCAAACCACGCACAAACATTTCAGTTGATACATACACCATAAGTTTGGTTGTCCGCTCTTTTAGATGCCCAGAAGCATGATTCTCGAGATCATTGCTCACTGAACATAAGACCAAATGTTCCAATTTATTTTATTGCTCAAAGAAGAATTGGTGTTCTGTTGTCTTATCCTGCGACACTATATGGCATCAGGTTGTTTGCTTCCATCAATTGGCTTGTGGGTTGTGCTTTGCACTGTTATCAGTGTTTCTGTCAGATTATTGTCTAGCTTAATGATCTGTTGCACCAACATGTATTGGAGTTGTTGGTGTGGTGATCGCCGTAGGGCCCGGACTGACTGGCAAGAAAGATGGGGATGTTGTCGCGTACGCAGGCAAGCCGATGGGCTCTTATGCTAAAGAGCAGATTATTCCAGCCAATGTTGGTTCCCGTCACGCCTTTGATTGATCACACAATGGCTGCTATCATGCTGAAGGGGATGACTGTCCATATGCTGGTTCGCAGCATATTTAAGGTACATTTTGTCTTGTTCCTGCTGTGTGACATACTGATCCGCTGCACATCCGCGTGAAGCACACCCACCCACTGCCGGAGGCGTCCCGCGCCCATGCTGATCTCAAGGCCCGGAAGACGCCGAGCTCCGTACTGCTGACCCCGTAGAACTGAGCACTGTCATATTTTTTGGGTAGGAGAAGAAGGAATAAACAGGGGACTCGGCGATGTATGTGCTCTAGAATCTACAATGCTTGTGAATATGTTCGCAGGTGTTGGCATCTGAATACTGAATCCTTCGTCTGTCTGTTTCACCTCGTTATGTTGGATTCAGTATGAATGAGTGTGTTTGGTGGTTATGAGTTGGATTGTGGTCTTGTTGTGCACATCACTGTTTGAAGCATGACGAGTTGTAAAGACCAATATTTTCCAATATAGTGACCTAGCAGGACAAGTATTTCCCTCAGTTTGTATATTATTTATATTCATGTCAAGTTATACACTAGACTAATTATAACATCATGAATGTATAAGGCATGATGAGTTCATGTCAAAGTACCTACAACTCGGTCGTCAGCAAGTCGTAACATGGCATACTTGGTTTTACAAATTAAAGTAACAAGCACAAACACCAATCCGCTGGTGCACCACAAGGCGGCATCAGCGTTGCCGGGTGAGAGGCTGCGGTGGGTCGGTGTTGCTAGGAGTTGATTTGGTTGTGTCAGGTGTGGGCTTGACGGAAGAGGGGTAACTAAACAAAGATATATGTGAAATTGTAAAATCAAATGCTTTTTTCTTGCATTGTAAAATTATTTTGTTTCTGCCATTGCAACGCACGGGCACGTTTACTAGAGGGGTGAAAAGATTGGGGGAGCTTTGTTCTGGACGATCACGATTCTTTGTACTAACTTTTTCGTACTTTGGATGAAACGTAAGACATATCAGAGACTCGACAGTGCATGTTATTGCCTAAGGCCGAGACCAAGCTAGCGGGCCAGACTATAAACCGCTTTTCCTTCTTCTGATGTTTTTCTCATCTCTGGCTTACATTGTTTCTTTTACTAGTACAAACGCCCGTATATTGCAACGGGCATGGAATCTTACAAAACCTGCTCCATATGTCATTATGTACAATTTTCCTTTTTCTTGAGTTGGAATCGCTATGATTTATTAACCAGTCTCCATTGATTTCAAGCGTGATAACACACGCCGGAAGGACATGGGACCATGTTTTACAAAGCTTATTCTTACAACTAAAACATGGGCAACTTTGTTTGCGAACGACGCACCCAACAAACCTTGGACTCCACGAAGACCTGAATTTCTTTGTCATATACGCACCATTTCTTATATTCAGTTCTAATAAACGCGGTACTAATTGTTGGAAATATGCCCTAGAGGCAATAATAAAAGTATTATTATATTTCATTGTTCATGATAATTGTCTTTTATTCATGCTATAACTGTATTATCCGAAAATCGTAATACACGTGTGAATACATAGACCACAATATGTCCCTAGTGAGCCTCTAGTTGACTAGCTCGTTGTGATCAACATATAGTCATGGTTTCCTGGCTATGGACATTGGATGTCGTTGATGACGGGATCACATCATTAGGAGAATAATGTGATGGACAAGACCCAATTCTAAGCATAGCACAAAGATCGTGTAGTTCGTTTGCTAGAGCTTTGCCAATGTCAAGTATCTTTTCCTTCGACCATGAGATCGTGTAACTCCTGGATACCGTAGGAGTGCTTTCGGTGTATCAAACGTCACAACGTAACTTGGTGACTATAAAGGTGCACTACAGGTATCTCCGAAAATGTCTATTGGGTTGACACGGATCGAGACTGGTATTTGTCACTCCGTATGACGGAGAGGTATCTCTGGGCCCACTCGGTAATGCATCATCATAATGAGCTCAAGGTGACCAAGGTGTTGGCCACGGGATCATGCATTACGGTACGAGTAAAGTGACTTGCCCGTAACAAGACTGAACAAGGTATTGGGATACCAACGATCGAGTCTCGGGCAAGTAACATACCGATTGACAAAGGGAATTGTATACAGGGTTTGATCGAATCCTCGACATCGTGGTTCAACCGATGAAATCATCGAGGAGCATGTGGGAGCCAACATGGGTATCCAGACCCCGCTGTTGGTTATTGCCCGAGAGTCGTCTCGGTCATGTCTGCGTGTCTCCCGAACCCGTAGGGTCTACACACTTAAGGTTCGGTGACGCTAGGGTTGTATGAATATGAGTATGCAGCATACCGAATGTTGTTCGGAGTCCCGGATGAGATCCCGGACGTCACGAGGAGTTTCGGAATGGTCCGGATGTAAAGAATAATATATAGGAAGTGGTATTTCGGCCATCGGGAAAGTTTCGGGTTCACCCGGTAATGTACCGGGACCACCGGAAGGGTCCCGGAGGTCCACCGGGTGGGGCCACCCATCCCGGAGGGCCCCATGGGCTGACGTGGGAGGGGAGCCAGCCCATAGTGGGCTGGTGCGCCCCCCTAGGCCCACCCCCTGCGCCTAGGGTTGAAACCCTAGGGTGGGGGGGGGGGGCGCACCACATGCCTTGGGGGGCACTCCTCCCCCCTTGGCCGCCGCCTCCTTGGGAGATCCCAT